CTGTCAATCCTCCGTTGGTGTATGTAGCCGACAGTGGCACATACCCGTTCTAGAGCGGGTATGTGCCTCCGGGGATGCGAGATGTGTGATGACGTTACTTGGAGTGTTCACTAGATGGACGCATGGATGAACGGACAGACAGACTAGAAAGCGGACGGACAGATGGACGTGCGGAAGGACTCGCGGGCAGACGGACAAGCGCATGGATGGACGCACGGATGGATGCACGGACGGATGGAAGATAGAACGAACGGATGGATGAATGGAAGCACGGACGGGCTGACGGACGCTTCGCCCCACTCATCATGATTCACTCCGTGGATATGCTGCGATTTTTTTTGGGGGGGGGGGGGGGGCTGCTTGCTGATTCCGATGGCTGCATATTCATCTGAATTCTCTGCTTCATCCATTAAGGAAACGCGGTGGGGAGGTAGTTAAACGTGAACGTGACTGATTCCAGTGCTTACACTGTTTTTTTTTTTCAACATTCTTTACTTCGACTACACTTCCGTTTTGCGTGTTAGTCACTGTGAAGACAAAATTTCATGGGCGTGCCACCAAGGGAACATGAAGGATGGCTGTAGTAATATCATGCAAAATCTTGGCGAGGATTGAGATACCCTCTGATGCTCGAACAGATGAAAAAATATCTTTAAACACGAGGTGTCGCTAGAGCCATTGTTCCGACGTGTGGTCTTGCCTAAATAGGTTGAAAAAGAAAAATCTGGAGTGAGAAATATTCATCAGCAGGGAACCCGCGCCCCCTAAAAGGTGGCATCCGTCATTTTAGTAGGGGTACGATCAAACCACTGGAAAGGAGCATGTTTCCGAAATCCTTGGGGTATCAAAGGTGGTGTGGGCGTGGGCATAGGGTTGGAATTGTAAAGGGGCACTGTCTCACACCAACCACGATATAACACGTCTTTACACCCCCCCCCCCCCCACTCGTCAAGACAAAATCCTTCCGACCTCCATGCTTTCCTTTGCTTACACCTGGCGTCTAGCCGAATGTCCTTCAGGTCCCCCCCTTTTTTTTGGCCAATAAAGTTTCACCACCACCTCTACCACCCATGCTTTGCTTTACTTTTGCTGGCAAAATGGTGGGCTTCTACTGCGTATTTTTTTTTCCTTTTTAACCCTTTTGTTCATGCCTCGTCGAGCGCACACCTATACGTCGACTACAGTGACACCTCGTGTTCAAGAATAGCCCATCCCTTCACGCTTCGATCTTCCCTTGGGGTTACTACTCCGCCTTGATGTCAGGCATTCCTGAAACAGTAAAACAAAACACCGTGTTTTCTCTCTCTCTCTCTCTTTCGCTTTTGCAATATATATATATATATATATATATATATATATATATATATATATATATATATATATAATCACCTTCTGAGGCTTCTTAGATGCTATAAATGTTACCTGTGCCTGAAAAGACGTTTCACTGAAGCAGCAATGACGTTCTTTGAACAGCGTATGCAGGCATATAGCTTACACGTCCTTCGAGGAGATTTCCACGCTCCCGTGACGAGCGCATGCCCCATAACGGCGAGGCATTTATATCGGAATATTCCTGGGCGCATAGCGCGCCCGCTTCCTTATATTGCTATAGGCGCGCGCGATTTCACGGACCAGCGCGTGAGTCCCGTAAATCGCCGAGCCAAGCAAGCGGCGCTCGCCTTCGTCATCAACGTCGTCAGCGGGGCCACGGCGGCTCTGTATATAGGGGGGGCCTTACGGACGATTCTCGAAGATTCCTGCCACCGCCAGTTGTGAAACCCGCCATTAAACGCGGATATAGCGCCCTCGCTCCTTGTATGCGTCGCTCTTTTTTTTTCATATTCTCTTCCCCGAGCGCCGCTGCGTTGGGCGCATCGAATCGCTGTTTCGGCTGCCGGTGATGATGATGATGTGTGTGGGAGGCAAGGTCTCCCATCTGGCCGAGCCGCACTGGCCTACTTTCGCCGTCGATGCACCCTTCTTTGCTCGCGCACACCTGGCGTCTGGCCCCTTGCGATGGATCGCGCGCGGACATGTTCCGAAGGACCACTTATATGTGTACCATGCCTGCTCGTCTTTCTTCTTGCTCGTCGGCGCTTCCTCGTTTCCTCTACTGATTTTCTCGCTACGCGAGTACCAGTCTGCTGTACGCGATTGTATATGAACGCCTGTTCGCGTGCTTTTTGTTTCGGCCGGTACGTATATATGATTTCCCGCGTGTGTCCGCTGCCTATACCATGCGCGCTTGTTGTTGGGACGCTTTCGCAAATAAGGAACGGCCGGCTGGCTCGTTTATCTTCGTGTCGTGAGTTTGCTTAGGGCCACTGCTTGGTATAGTCGATTGTCAGCAACTCTTTTGTTTTCGTTTTTTTTCTGTGCAGTCCGTAGCGTACGCATTTGCTTTCAAACCGCGTTCGTGCATCCTTTATGCGCACGTGGGAGTGAAAGGAAACAACGGAGTGTTCGGCTATTCGAAACACGTGCGTGTTATTGTAGTCAATGTCTCACTCACGTCCGCTTCTGTAAACATACTTTGGCCACTGGCCGCATTGCTAATGTTCTCCTACTGGCGTGTGCCGTCGACCTGTGTGTGAGATTGGACTTTTGTTTCGCTATTTGCGCCGGAGCATGCGTGCGCGTATGGCAAACCGTGCCTCCGCTCATATAGTTATACGGACGTATGTTTAAGTTTCATGAAAGACTACCTAAAACAAACTGCTGTGAAGTTAAAATCAGTCTCCGGTTATGCGTGTGAATCCTGTCGTTGTTGAAAGAACAGAAAAACACTTAATCACTAATATTTGGTTGTGCATGTGTGTGTGTGTGTGTGTATGTATGTATGTATGTATGTATGTATGTATGTATATATGTATGTATGTATGTATGTATGTATGTATGTATGTATGTATGTGTCGATGTGTATGTATGTATGTATGTATGTATGTATGTATGTGTGTGTGTGTATGTATGTATGTATGTATGTATGTATGTATGTATGTATGTATGTATATATGTATGTATGTATGTATGTATGTATGTATGTATGTATGCGTGAATGATCGCTACTGCAGTGCGTGAGTGCGTTCTCGTGCTTGAAGAACACTCATGTATTTTTTGTAGCTTTTTTCTTTTCCGTGGCGTTTATTATTGTGATTTTGGAACCAAAAAAAGTGTTTTTTTGCGTTTTCGTCGGTCATCTAATAGATGCGCCTTTTGTATACAGCCTCTGCAGGTATAGCCGTCTGCTTGCATAATGGGGCGATCGTTAACTTTTCCTCGCGTTTCGTATGGTGTAGCATATACCGCATGCAAGGATTTGTACGCCCCGACCTTTCCCATACCCCAACACTTCCTGACCTTTCCCATACCCCAACACTTCTCTAATACCTCCATCAATTGTGTAACATTATTGGATCTCCCCTGACCATCCCATTAATAATTGACCCCCTTCCCTTTAATGTCGATAACGGAATTATGAAGTAGCCCCTGACCTCACACCTTATACGAGAAGCTCAGGCTGACAGCTGTATTCGAGTGAGTCATCTTCCGCGAAGCAGAAATCGCTCTCAGTCGTCGCAGGTAGTGGTATCCCTCTATACTATACATGCACCTTTTCTGTATTCTGTAGTACATACAGCACCGCCGCACACCTGCTGACACGTACACAGCTCACGTCACCGTGCAAATCGCGGCGCTTCCGCGTCGATTCCCAGAACTGCTGGATGTGTATGCCGCATTTTCTTTTTACGTGTAGGCGGGACGTCAGTTCGCCTAGCGCGCTGTATAAACGTGCCTTTGTTCCGCGCTTTGCGATTTGTGGTCGCGCGTTGAGCTTGCGCGCGGCGTGCGATACGATATAAACGCGCGCTGTTGCCTTTTATAGCCGCCTTCCGCGTCGTGTCGTAACGACTTGGGATTCTTTTTTTTTCTCGCATATAAACCTCACTGGCCTCTATCGGCGAATAAGGGCTTCCGCTCTTGTCTTTCATCGCCGCTGCGTCGACCACAATGGGCGTCCATTGGAGCGAGTTCGTGGCCTCCGTCGACTTTTGCTCGCCGGCGGTGATGACGAACGCGCCCTGCCCAGCCATTGGGTCACCTCGGCCGATTCGGTTGTGAGCGCCCCTTGTGGAAGAAGCGTGCGCGTGGGGCGAGATGACGGATAACCTCGGCGATAACCCGACGCCGGGTCCGTCTCTTCTTTTCTCCGGCGGCCACCCCGGCAATCGGTCTGTCGTGAGCTGCGGTCGGCGCTTACTGCATGCGTCTTGTGAGGAGGAAGCGAGGGCAGCAGGACGCCGATTTTTACTATACATGAGCCGGGAGAGCGGCCCGCACCACTACCGGGGATGGACGTGCATGCGGTGAAGAGGAATGCGCGAAGAGATTTGATCAACTCTGCGAATAAATGAACCAATATTGAAAGAACAAGAGTGCACGAAAGCCGCCTTTTTTTTCCGCCCGTGTCTATAGTATCGGTTTTAATGCGATACGATGCAATAAAACAACAAAAACTGAAACAGGATTTTGTGGATGTATAGTAAGATGCGCTTTCTGCCTTTGTTCGTATACAATCACATTCGGTAATAGCATCTCCTTCGTCAATATTACATGGGTGAGGCAAAGGTGAGTACTGCATAGTTTCGGAATGATTCCGCCGACAATTCTGCAATCAGCTCTTCAGACCTCGCTATGTATTCGAAGTCGTCGCAGTGGTTACTGGGATGTGCCATTCTCGGCATTACGTGGCGTTCCGAGGATCTTATGAATACCTTATAAAAAGTAAAACTTATAAAGCGCCATTTTGATAAGACAGCTTTCCGCACGTTGCCGGCTGGGCGAGCTTTTGCAGTTCCTTCGAGCACGGTACAGTGCTGCGTCCGGTCTCTTGCGGCGCATTTGCAAAGCCACGACGTTGTTGCATGTTTATGCTTTGCGTGGTCACGGGCACTATACCCTAATCGAGCTGTCATTCTCTCCTCGTTTCTCTACTGTTGCAGAAAGGAAGGGCCTGCAGAGAACGCCCGCGCAGCGACGCTTGCCTGGGAGGGGTGAGTACCTCGCACGCGTGCGTGTCCGTGTGTTTCACCGTGACCTTAACCGTATCCGATATATATATAGGCGGTGATGTCGTATATACTGTCGTATGTTTTTTCGTTCTGAAAGTGTGTAAATGCCTTACCTGTTTTATAATTTATTTGTTTGCCGATTTGTAAACTTACCAAATCTATATCCACCCTGCCGAAACCCCATGTTAGGGTTGCAGTATTCATAAATCAATAAATAAATAAATGTAGGTCACTTTTCGCAGTGCTGGCACCGTATTCATTTTGTCACTTTATCGTGCTATTGCCCCACTGCGGTGGTCTAGTGGCTAAGGTACTCGGCTGCTGACCCGCAGGTCGCGGGATCCAATCCCGGTTGCGGCGGCTGAATTTCCGACGGAGGCGGAAACGTTGTAGGCCCGTGTGCTCAGATTTGGGTGCACGTTAAAGAACCCCAGGTGATCGAAATTTCCGGAGCCCTCCACTACGGCGTCTCTCATAATCATATGGTGGTTTTGGGAAGTTAAACCCCACATATCAAGCAATCAATCAATCAATCAATCAATCAACTTTATCGTGCTCGGAAGCTGGCAACTCTCTCACGCGCTAACACAAAACTGCCTCCTCGTTTCGGGTAAAGCGCTAGCCCAAAGCTTCTGCGCTTCATCGGAGAAGGGGGGAGGGGAAGTTATTTTTATGGTCGCACTTCTTTTGTCTTGTTTTACGCATCGTTTGCTGTTTAAAAGCGTTCGTACCTTTCTTCGTACTCATATTGTGAGTGCCACATGGATCTCCTAGACCGTATTCTTTTTTTTTTAATTAAGCCTATCCAGTCGCTTATGTTATACCAGATTACATTTCTTTCTTACGTCATTTCACTTGCGCTTCAGATGTTTTCATTAGTGGATGAATAAACCGCAGGTACTTCGCTATTTATATTGTGAGCCTTAGACTGCACTGTTGAACATCCAGGTGATAGTAGGTATTCGAAAGACATGCCTGCATCGCTTTCGAAGCGGCCTGTGACACTTTCTATGTGAGTGCCACAGGTAATCGTTGGATATTGTGTAATGACCTATCTTTATAAAGAGGTTTCTAGCTATTCTATTTAAGATATGAACAAAAACTCCTATAGTGAAAAATATGATATATCTGTGGTCGCCTCGGTCGAAGACCGCCCTTCATCACTGTTCTCTCATAACGGCTGGTCCTCGGTCGAGACGTCAGAATGAATGTCCGCTGTGACATTTCAATAATAAATAGCATTCAGGTGTCGTTACAATTTGTGTTTGCAGATATCCGCGATTCGCACTATATAAACTGTAAAGGTGCCAGGTGTTCTCGGTGGCACAGCACTATTTTCCTGCAATAATTATTCGTCTTTGCCTGTATCCGTCTTCCATCAAATATCCGTGTTCATGGCAAGCGTGAGTGAACTTGCGCAGTCGTCGCACGAGAAGGTGTGCCGCTACGATTTGGAATATCTGGTTTCAACGTGCTTCCGTTCGTTTTATTCCTTTTTTTTTTCTTGCCCTCTTAGGAAATAGGACTGAAAGATCGTACGTCAGCTAACGTTAAACCGTGATACTGCATCGTCGCCTTGGGCCAGAAACTACGCACTGGATGATTTAGTCAACTTCGAACACTATAGATTTTTATTGCACACGTCGGGAAATTATCATCTCTGCAGCTCTCCCCCCGCCGACGCACGGTTTTAATAGCGCCTGCGCTCAGGGACCACGTTTATCACCCCTTTCTTCATCAGTCCGCTCTGTCGCGAAAGCTGATCAGTTCAGCTGACAGAATGACAGCTCTGGGTCCGTCTACTCATCTGGCTTGCCGATAAGAGTAGTTGTATACGCATAGAAAAATGACACTACTAAAAGCTTCTGAAATATTGAAAACAAAAATTGAGGAAGAAAAAGGCCAATATACTTCGTTTCGACGGCTTGTCTCGTCGCTGCGACTGTCTCCAGCCCTCAAGTGCTAACCGGGAAAGGATTTGCCGTGTGAGCGCGTGTGGGTGCTCCGTTAGAATTCACAACTATATTTGCTTCTATATTCATGAAGATATATGTGGTTCGCCTGATGGTTTGGTACGCTTTCTTTGCGCTTCTTTCTTTCTTTCTTTCTTTCTTTCTTTCTTTCTATTCTTTTTTTTTTCTTTCTTTCAAGCCACTTAATGGAGCACGTGAGCTGCTATACTTTCCGTGTTGTGCTTACTTTTAAGTTCCTTGGCATCGCGAGCTTGTCTCCCATTTCATCGCGCCCCGCTCTTTGTTCCTTTACGTACCCCTTTTTGCACGGCAGAGCGGTCGTCGACTCTGCTCGTCTTCCTCTCACCCCCTCCTCATCTTTCGGCGTGCAATCCGTGGTGCGATCGAGAGCATCGTCTCTCTCTCCCATCTTCTTGCGCGTCAAGGACTTGTTGTGCAAGCATTGTTCGAAGGAGACCCCTCATCGCCGACACCACGGAGCGGCAACGGCGCTGAAAATCCGCCCCTTATTCTTCTGTTGACTCATGCAGTCGGGGCAGCTCGCGCGGTTCCGCTTGGACGAGAGCCCGTCATAAGTGCTTCTGCGGAAAACAATGAAGTCGATCTTTCCATGGGTCGTTATTTCGCTTGCGCATTGCCTATATGGTCTAATGGAACGACAAAAAAAAATATTGACGAGGTATTGCATAGCTTGTGGGAAAGAAAAAAGTGACATTCACATAATTCAATACCCTATAAATTTTTAAAGTCGTTCACGGTGCACTTGCTTCCCTGTTCGCGCTGTTGCGACTTGCGCGACAATATGTAGATGATTACTACCGTATGAAGCCAACGTACACAATCAAGCTCGAAGAAACGTGGATATAGTATAGTTGAAATGTGAAAACTCAGACGATGGGACTTTGTGATTTGTATGTATGTTGTTATAGTCATACATTATCAAGCTATGAAGGGTAAGTGTATGTTAATATACGTTAAGGTCACTTTTCAGACTGGCAATATGGAGCGACCACTGACCGCGGATGTTCTGCCAAGAACCACAGGTGGTCGAAATTTCTGGAGATCTCCACTATGGCGTCTCTCATGAACATATGGTGGTTTTTGGACGTTAAACCCCACATATCTCTGCAGTTGTCACGGATCGCCGCTCAGCACTCCGTCCCTTTACCGAGACCTAAAACGGCACGGGGTAGTGAAAAAAAAAAAAAACTTACTAGTATGATGGCACATGCCAAGTCCTACGCTGGTCCTTATCCGTAAAAATGAAGTATGTTATCCCCTGAGAGGGATGCCATACACTTAACATGCTGTGTTTCGGGAAATCCGGCCTAGCTCATTTCGTCGAAATGCCGCGGTGTCACGCGTGTGGTGATTTCGGCGCAAAAATTAAAAAAAAATCGTTGTCCTGGATTTTGTCTTCTATTAAAAAAAAACCATATCGGTGAAATTAACGACGTTTGAGCTCTCGGAGTACGATTGACTAATATAAACATATTCATTTTTTTAATTTAGCGTTCCTTTGATATAGGACGGTCACTGAACGCAATACTAAGATAATCATTTGAGTCAGAGTACGAGGTGGACGCTATACGACGAATCAAAAATGGAGGTGTGTGTGTGTGTGTGTGTGTGTGTGTGTGTGTGTGTGTGTGTGTGTGTGTGTGTGTGTGCGTGTGTGCGTGCGTGTGTGTGTGTGTGTGTGCGTGCGTGGTGTGTGTGTGTGTGTGTGTGCGTGCGTGTGTGTGTGTGTGTGTGCGTGTGTGTGTGTGTGTGCGTGCGTGTGTGTGTGTGTGTGCGTGTGTGTGTGTGTGTGTGTGTGTGTGTGTGTGTGTGTGTGTGTGTGTGTACGCAAGCAGCATGTGCAGGCGGATATATCTAATATAATTGAAGAAGCGAGAGCTATAGTGTATTTCTTGATTACGCAATTCAGTGCCATCGTTCGCTCGACGAAGCTTGTACTGTGCGATGCGACGATCCGACGCTATACGTGGCTCTGATAACATCGTCCACGTCCTGTATATGTGGGTGGTCATTCATTGCCGGTCGTGGGGGTGTCTCTTTCGCTTCACGATTTCGGGATTTCGGGTGACTGGCGCGCACGCAATCATCGGTCGGGGGGGCGCACAGCCCCTGTGCTCGGTCGTTCGCGAATGGGCCGCGGTAATTGCGTCGTGCCCGCACGAATTTTCTTTTTTTTTTTTTTACATATGGCCTCGCATTTGAAGACCTCGTGGCTCTCGTTTCCAGTCTCGGCTGGCCGTGTGAATTGGTTCGCGGGCGGAAGCGACTTGAGTTTTGAAAACGCGCGGTGCACCCGCGTCGTCTCTGTATAGCTCGAAGCGCCAATGGCGTGCCGCTTAGGGTGGTGCCGGCACTTTTTAAAATGCTGGGAGAAATATCTATCTATATGCCCCCCTCTTCGACGGGGAGGGAGGGGGGGGTCGCCCCTTTTTTTCCCCTCTTTGATTTCCGTGAAGTCGTTCCTCTTAGCACGTCTCCGTTCTCCACCTCCTCTCTCTCTCTCTCTCTCTCTCTCTCTCTCCATTTCGAATTTCGTTTTATCCGGTCTATAAGAGAGCACACGCCCGTCTGACCATTCTGGCCGGACACTCGATCTCTCGCTCGTCCTTCACGTATGCCGCTTTCTGCGGGGCTTTCGCTTCCGCCTTTCTTCTTTTCTGGGGCTTTTATTCGTTGCCTCAGTCCGAGGAAGAAGGGCTCGTCTCCTGGCACTTTCTTCGCTGCCCGCGTATGCTCTCGCCTTGTAACTCGCTCTCCTCGGCGGGGCCGTCGGGCTTTTTTTGCAACGTGCTTTTTGACTTACTGGACCGTATCGCGGAGAGCGTATGCGAATGATGCGAAAAAGGTTGCGTGTGCCTGTGGTGTGCATACCGTATGGCGCGGTGGCCGCGGGACAGGTCGGTTGTTCCGCGGCTGGTGCTGTCCATTTGGGGCCTCATTGTTACGCGCTTTTCCGTCTCTGCGAGCATCGAAGAGGGCGTCGGCGCA